AGTGTATAAGTACTCAATCGCCTGCTTTACCAAAGTTGGATCTTCTTAAATCTTAATAGTATTTATAGTAGCTTTCTATTATATTCTTCTAAGTCAAATAAATATTTTTAAATAGCAGGCTATTTTAGCTGTATATAATAAAATCTTCTTCTATAATACTAAAAAAGAATTCTAATTACGCGCAAATTATATATTTATAGATAGAAAAGAACTTTTTACTATATAAAATTATAAAATTACTGTATTTTGGGTTAAGACATATACTGATATTTAATCAGTTGTTGTGTATATGGAGGTGATATATTGATTATCTGGCAACCTGAAGTACATACTTTACTAGAGCTTTTATAAGTTTTTAAAAAGGGATTAAGATTTTAATTTTATTATTTAAAGATTTTTTAAGTATCTTATACACAGTCTAGAAAGATGTTTTATATACTAGTTGTTTTATTATTATTTTAATAGTTAAGCTGTTTTAATACTTTACTAGAAGTTATAGTCGAGAATAAAGATAAGTTGACTTTATACAGAGACTATTTATAGTCTATTAATAGGATATTTAGAATAAATTAATAATATTATACTAAAATAATCTTTTATTAACAGCTGGTTTTATTATTACTACTAAATATAAATACTTTTTTATTAATAGCCTTTTTATTATATATTATTATTTAGAAGTACAGACTCTTATATTAAAATATTTTTAAAATTATTAAATAGATTATAATAAAAATATTAGAATAAGATTATACTGTTTTAAGCTTTTCTAACTAACTTATATAAAATTTTAGTATTTTTTAAACAGCTATAAATATTTTTTAGTATATTTTATTAAATAAAATAAACTTAAATAAAATCTATTTTATAACGCTTTTTAGTATCTATAGTAGTTATTAAAATAATCTAATAAATTTAAAAATATAATTTATATAGATAATTATTTTATTTAATTTATACTAATAGTTCTAATTAGTTATTTTTTTTAAAAACTAGAAAATTCGACTCTATAACAGTAACTATAAAAGTATAAGGTATTTTTAATTAGAAATTTAAGCTTAATTAAAGATTAGATTTTATAATATTAAAATACAGATAAAAAATAATACTTAAAGTATAAATTAATATATTTATAAAAATATTATATTTTTTTTGCTAACTAAGGCTACTTTCGGTCCCGAGTTGAATATAATATTTGTAAATAATATTATACTTGCCCGCAGCAGATTATTGTCCTGTAATCTCTTTCTCTTAGGGATATAAGTCCTACAAAGTCATTAAAAAGCAGGGTGTCGGAAATCATCAAGCTGTAGCACAGAATGCAAGGACTTGAGTACTTGAGTTGTTAGGTATAATACAGAAGACTAGAAGTGTAACAGTAGATATATTAGACTCTGTTTATATAAGTAATATAATTAATAGAAGATAGTTAGATGGTTAAACTAGTTGTAAGACTATAATAGTTATAAGACTGGATAAGTTATAAGATTATAATAATTATAAGACTGGGATAGTTGGAAGACTGGATGGATTATGAGACTGATATAGTCGCAAGACTAGACGGGTTGTAAGACTGGACGGGTTATAAGACTGGAGTTATAAGACTGAACGGGTTGTAAGATAGTACTTATAAGACGGGCATAGTCGAAGAAGTATCTGCTGTTATCTGTTTTAGATATAAGATTTAAGAAGTTGTCAGACTATAATTTAATAATTACCGAAACCCATACTATCTTAATTATAAGCGAAGGAAAATCATCTAAATATTAGATATTACTAATATATTAAAGAAACCGAAATAAGTCTTGTAATTCTTTTATATATTTATAAGTTTTTCTTAAATCTCTTAGAAACTATAAGTATAATATAAAATAATATAGTATATCTACTTTTTTGTAGGAAGATTTTATACAATCTTAAATATAAAAAATATATTAACTTTTATATTAAATTTTTATTATTAATATTTTATATCTTAATAAAAATAATTAGAATCTATAAAAATTATATTAGTTATAGTCTAACCTTCCAGCTTATAAAGATATAATATAGCCTTAATATTCTAAACAGTCTGTTTATTATTCTAATAATTAAAAAAATAAAAATAAGTATATAAATTAGTAAGCTAGAGTAGCTATAATTATATAACTATTATAATTTATTAATATTAATTAAAGAGTGGAATAAGTAATTATTAAGTAAGATAATATTTATTATTTATATAATATTATAGTTTTATTTTTTTAAATTTTATATTAAACTATTTAATATCTGAATACAGAGCTGTACTTAGTTTTAAGTTTTTAAAATTAATCCGCGCGAATAACTGGTTCTATTTATTAGATATTTACTATTATATTTATTATTCTGTATTATTAATATATACAGCTATATTCTTATATATCTTTTTTTATACAAGTCTTAGAATCTTAATTTAAAGTAGTAGATAAAATAATTAAAATAAATATCTTTTCTAACTGTCAGCTATTAACTGGCTTTCTGTAAACTAATCTGTATTTATATTTTAATTATATCTAAGATACTAATACTAGGATCTCAGTGGTACTTCTCTTAGAGAAACTCCGTCTAGAATACTTTTTAAATACTTATAGTAAAAGTATTATTTCTTACTATTGCTACTACTATAATATCTACTGTTAATTATATTTTTTATTTTATTTAGTTCTTATTTTTTACTACTATCTGGTTATGGTTGACAATTATAAATAATATACAAACAGTAAACTAATAGTTTAAGAGTAATAGTAGGCCTGATTTATATTTTTTAGGAAATATTAAGCAGAGTATTATTCTAAGAAGGCTTAAGTTTTCAGCGGCTGAAGCTCCGCAGGATATCCTACAGTATTCTTAGAACAATTACTAGTATAATAATTAAAAGTTTTAGCTATATTTTTAATATATTAATATATTTAAAGTAATATTTAGTTTACCTACTCAGACTTTATAAATTTTTAATATAAAATTAAAACTCTTTATTTTGGTACTCAGAGTCAGACAGCAAAGAAAGGATTACTAGCTCGGACATATAAATAAGAAATACGACTTCTTGAACGCAGAGCAATTTTCGATGCGGACAGTACTGTATAAATTCAATAGCGATAATTGAATGATTTGGTTCAATATCTTCCACCATCCAAGTATAATCAATTGTCATGAATTAGGAGCATGACGCAGTCTGAGACATGTTCGCATCAACCTCTGTTTCATAACTAATAAACAACAGTACGTACATGCATGGCACCACCGCTTACAGTTCCTTATCACAGCTCGCCTGCTCCACTCCAAAGCACCAGTTCCAGTTTGTCTCCCAGTTAGTCCCAAACCCATTGACCTCCGCTTCCATGGCCCACTGGCCACTTAAATCTCCATTCACCCACTCGTTAAAGGAGAATCCCGCGAAGGTAGCGTAGTTGACAAGGTTAAGAAAGAGAGTCATGGCCGCTGAGCTGCTACTGGATCCGGAGCTCGGCGAATCCAGAAACACCTGCGCCTGCTCTACCGTCATCACGGCACCCCTTGAATTGCACTGCACCTTGACGCCGCCGCTGCCGACATGAGTAAAGGCCGTGTCAATAGCTCCGCGGCGTTGGAATGACGAGCTGCTGCTGCCGACGGGGGCCAGATGACCGATATGGTAGTGGGAGCCGTTAGTGGCCACCAGGAGCGGCACATGGTTCGCGCGCGTGTTCTGATAGACGAAGCTAAGCGGCATACTGGCGTTGTGCAGGGCCCGGATCGTTACCGCCGCCGCCTCCCCCTCTTCACCCCGGCGCACCACCGTCTGCGGCAGGTGCGTCCCGTTCAGCGGGATCCCTTCGTAGTAGACATCCGAGATCACGACACCGTCGCCTAGCTGACGGAAGTAGTCGTCCAGGTAGGCAAAATCCTCGTGTCCTCCCTGCTCGCGTTTGGAGGTCCAATAGCCGACCTGCTGATAGTTATTGACAGCCATACCAAATTGAACGGCCGCCGAGACCACCGACTCCGCGCAGGTCAAGGCATCTTCAGTGTCACCAGATTTTCCGGCGGGGATGCATTCGCGGATCGTATCAATCAGATGGATGGTTCCCAGGCCGGCGGACACAATCACCCCGTTGCCGGGCGTGCCGTACTTGGTTGTTAGCACGCTCGCCCCGATGGTGCCGACCAGGGTCCATGCTTTCGGGATGTCGATGGCGGAGCTGACATCGCTCAGTACGGTGCAGATGCACAATGTGCCGTAGGGGTAGAATTTCATCTTGCAGGATATGCAAGGGTAGGATATTGAGGATGACGGTGATAAAATAGGTCATGAGAGGTAGAGAGGCAGGAAGAGGGAATCGGGGTGTCGAATTTATAGTCCGTTTTGGGCAGACTCTGCTTCTATAATCAATACCAAGCAGTGCCAGCCCTATGGCTGAAGCTGAGTGGAGATCGCAAGCCGATGCAATGTGATATATCTTAGCAACAAAGGAGAATTCTACAGGGTAGGTTTCAGAAATTGACAGGTTAGCGTCTGTACGACAGTGCTAGTTGAAGTGCTCCCTAATATTAGCCGACAATCACTAGTCGAGATGGCCCTTTTAGCGTAAGCACGAAGTAATACATGCTTAACCGAAGGCATACGTTAGGCCTTTATCGGCATGAAATCAAGTGCCGATGCCCCCAGACCCTTAATCTCGATCATCTAAAGCTGCAGCCAATGATGCCTAATTGTATATAACATGAAGATAATGCAATGAGCGTCCATTTCTATCCGATCCTAGAAGCTGGAGTAATAGCCATATGCCCGTATTCATTGCACGTATCACACAACACTGGTAGAGTTCGTACGGAGCCGAGAAGATCTACCATAGCCGAACAGAGCTGTGAGGTCTACCAGCTGATTTGCCAAGTTTCAGACCTGGCTCCTTTTCCTCCCCTCCCCGGGTCCACCTACACTCAACCTTGATGCTCCCAGAGGCTTGTTTTATTATTCAAATGAGAACCTATCCCCCACCCCATCACCCAGATCCTTACTACTCAACCAAGCGCACCCATTCCCTCCGACCTGTACGACATCTCAATGGTCACCTCACCGCTGCTGCTGCCTCCCTCCCTCGCCTCTCTGGCAAATCTGGAGGCAATTCTCACATTCTTGACGCCCTCACCTGCATGGACCCCTTTCTGGTATAGCCTGTACGACGGCGGGGGTGCCGTGGCCCTGTTGTGGGTCCAGGTCTATCTTCTCAGCCCGCGGCGCACCGAGATCGCCTTCGAGCTGGCCGGCTTAATCACCATCCATCTCACTCGGATCCTGACAGTGGCCTGGTTTGCTTGCTACCGGAATGATGATGGGTGGACTGAGGCGGCGGTGACCCGGTGTCTGGGAATGGTTATCGTGCTGGGGTTGGATTGGATTACTATTCGTCGAATTTATTGGCGGCAGCCTGCTCAGGAAAGGAGATCTGGTATGCTCCCCCCCCTCTTCGTACAAAACGAAAGCCCTTTGGTTGCAGTGAGGTCTGAAATGCTTAATTTCATGGTATTGATGTTGCATTGATCAGATACGCTCCCGTCCGTTGGAGAGCATAAGTAGAGATTGAATCTCCAGCAACTTGGCAGATGAGGTGCAGACAAGGGGATATCTTACCGGTGTTGTTCGTTGGTGTTTTCATTCGAATGAAAGGGTTGCTGTTTAATATAGGGCCAATGAACTGATTGTGCTGTACTCGTGCCAGTTGGCTTGCTGCTTGTATTCGGGCTAGGTTAGATGGCCAATGCTTATATCTGAAAATAACCGAGTTCAAACTAACCTGCGCTGCGGCGGGAGGGTAATAAGACATCCAGGCAGTTCCAAGTATTGTCACTATTAGTATATTGATTCTTATCATCTAATACTTCTTGTGGTCTCCAGAAGTTGTGTTAATACCTGTATGTCGCCGCCGGGCCTGGTTTCCACCCGCACACCATGGTTGGATTAGTCAGCAATGTTTGTGTCTCACCCCATCACTTCGTCGCGCACTTTTGAGAATGGGCCATATTTTACCAGCGGGACGATGATGGTTCCCTTTCTGGAAACTCGGCAAAGCTTCGGTATAACTGCTTAATCAGTACATAGGAGACGGAAAAGTGAACAACTGGACCCGGGTCTACTATTGCTATTAATTAATATTCCTTAGGAATTTAGCATCTCAGCTCTCAAATATAGAGTTGAACCGTGAATACTTTCTGCACAAATAGCTGGCATTTGTACAGTGAATCCAAATCGAGAAGGCCGGGGGTAGGAGACTTTTAAGCATAGCAAATGCATGGGATGTGGATTCTGGAATTTTCTGGCATGGTTCCTACCCAGGTACTAACCTAAAGTGCTCGTCTATTAAGGTACGGTACCGGATGGGCGCTCTGTTAAGGTACGTTACTGAATGGGCGCTTTTTTGTCTCATCGGCATAGGCACGTACCCGGATTGCGCCGTCGAATAGTTATTCCTCTCACCTCCTTACTAATCTCTCTTGGATGCCAATTGATCAAATGGAATTTAAAACATCCCCGCAACTTTCCATGGTAGGCAGAATATTACGCGCTGCATTATTTTCGCGCGGAGTAAGAGCCCGGCAAAAAACCACGGGGCGCAAAACTTTGCGGTGCGTAGAATGTGCACCCAGCGTTCACAGATGCCTCACTTCTATCTCTACGGTCTTACGCCCTTTTTCAGACGCTAGCGGACGCCAGTGTATTTACGGCAGGCCACTTGTTCGGTTTGCAACGGGTACCCTCTGGCACGCAACTAGCCAATTGACTACTATACCAGAGTATACAGATGGTGGTACAGGGAAGATTGTTAGCCAGTCAAGAGCAGGTATAACTTAGGAAACTCATTTGAATAAGGTCAAGTTTACTAGTACGGCGACGTCAAGCAAGAAGGGATACAGGAATTGATCATATCTTGTACGGGGCCTTAAAAGTTGTATGCCCAGCGAGATAGCTTTTTGCGGATCTCGGACGGGAGAGATGCAGAATGACAGACATTTTTCTCAGTAAATAACAGTCCCGACAGTGCGTACGTGTACCGTACCTGTCAAGTCTTTCCATGGGACCAGGTCAATTATAGTAAGCAAAACCTGTCCACACTTCGTAATGCTTTTCAAGAAGCTCTTTTGCCTTTAGCAAAATTTGTCTCTTGGAGTCGAGCACTATCCAAGAACAGCCAGAATATTGGTTGTTGTATTGCGCCTCATCTTTTTCTCGCATTTCGGCCAGTTGCGACCGTGTCAGGTTGAGCCGCGAGCTACACCGTAGCTGAGTCAGCAAATCTTAAGCATTTATTCCCTCAGTATCGAGCATCCTTTCCCCGAAAACCAAATTTCTAAACGCCGACTCCAAGGAATGGAAATATTCCAGTGTTGCAGGATGGGTGTAAAAAACACAGGTAACAAGGGCATCCACTTGGCTATTAGTAAAGATATAAAGCGTTCTGAAAGTCGCATCAGCGGTTAAGACATTAAGTAAATAATTTACTCACAATTTCTCAATTACAGCAGCATCGGTGGCTAGGAGAAAACCGAAGCTAAGTACACTTGCAAACTGCCACAAACGGAACCCCTTTTATCGGTACTTATAAACTGCTTTACACCAAGTATTTGTACTGCATCTCTCAAAGAGATCATCCTCCAGATGCTGGGTAATCAAATTAATTAAATAGCTTGTTTTTCGGCCTCTTTTGGAACGCAAGCCGAATCTGTCTAGATCACTGAAGAGCACAGCGTAGGTCAAATAAAATAAAAAAGACTTTATTCTACCAGCAAAAGAGTCCGAAATAGGGTCGGCTTCGAGATCGCCGATACACCTCGCCGCAGCCTTAACACCAAACCATAAAGTAGAGATACCAACAGAAAGCAAACCGTAGGCCATATTTTCTTCCCAGCAGGCCCAAATAGGCTCAAGAATTTAACGCGGACTTCTAACGATAAGATGTCTTTGCGCGTCCAGAACCTGCAGGATTTCTTCATAGTTCAACCGTCTTTTTTTTGTGAACTCATATTATGACAGAAGCGCGTATATAATATACTCGTCAAATGTCAGGCTCAAAGCAGATTCTGGCACGGGCCTCAGTTGTTTGCGGGGCTTGCCCGGATTCTGAACAGTCTCGGGGCAAGATTCTTTATTAACACCTCGGGGTACCCTCACGTCGCTCAGTATGTCAGAAGGCGTACCACCGCCCAAAGCAATAGATGCTCTGAATCTCTCAGAATCTACTTCTTTTACAACGTTAGAGGAACTTATACACTGGGAATTGTCCGCCCCGATTAATAGCAGCCTAGCCGAAGCTGCTGCACCATCTAGAAATATTATAAAAAAAAAGTGGTTAAAAATAAATTAATAAGAAGTTTCGAAGATCTAATTCACCCACGCTGTATTTATATATACAGTAAGAAAACCCTTAAACAAACTAGAATACTTGTATTTATTATCTGTATCGTATAGGCTAGCTGTAATTATATTTAAATCGTTTCTAACAGTTAAGACACCGCGGCTTGGTATAAAACCCCCATAATATATCCTTTCAGACAGCTGGCGAATTAGTGTTACGGGACGGATAGATTGTGCTAATTGAAACATGCCTTTAAATAAGAAGAAATAGCTAAAAAGCTATTTTATCTATTTATACAAAATTCTTTTGTATATGCTAGGCTAGTGTTAGTTAGTATATAGTATTATTCTTAAGTACTAACTAATATTTAAGACTAAACTTTATACTAGGATTTTAATTCTATAATAAAAGTCTTTTTTTTTCTGCTTTATTCTTATTTTATATAATTCTCTGCAGCTTATTATATATTGCAGCTTTCTAATAAATAGAGTTTTTTTTTATACTATCTATATAACCGGTTCCGGAGGTATAGTCAGGCTTAACTACTAGCTTTGTATAGAATATATAAAGTATTATATAAAAAGACTTTTTTTTCTTCTTTTTAAACTTTTTTTTTATATATTTTTTCTTCTTTTTTTTTCTAATCTATTCTATTCTTATTTATATAAGCTTTTATTAATTTTTTTCTATTTATATAATATCTCTGCTTTTTAATACTAAGAATAGTAACTTTAAAAAATCGGACGGTATACTTATTTCTTTTTATTATAATTTCTTTTAAATTTCTATTACTATATCTAATTATAATTTATTTTTTTTTCTATATAGTATATTACTATATATAATTCTTACACTGGTAATACAGAAAGATAAATAACTATATAATTTATAATATATAAAAATAAAACTTTACTCTAGCTTTATTATACTTTAAATTAATAATATATCTAATACTTTTCTTACTTTAAATTTAAGATAAAAGTTAGTATTTTTACTATTACTTAAATAAGATAATTTTATAGATTTTCTGTATAATATTAATTCGGTTAGATATATACCGGATACTTTTTTTATATTAATAGTTTTTTAATTATCTTTTATAGTCTAATAGTACTGAATACTTATAAATATAATATTTAAAAAAAGGTTTGGTAGATTATATAACTATTCGAGTAATAAAATAATATTTATACTAAATATAAGTTTAAGAATTATAGTATATATTATAATTATTATAACCCGGCTAAATCTAAATATAAGTCTATAATAATTACTACTTTTTCTTATAATATTATTAAAAAATTAATAGACTAAATATAATATATAAGCAGGATTTAATATAATAATAATTAATTACTTTTATTAGATTAAATAAAGTTTTTTTTAGTTAAAAAAATAATAAACTACTTACTTTCTTTTTCTTTTTTTTTATATTCTTTTATTATATTTTTTTTATTTTTTTTAACTCTATATAATCTAGAACTAGAAACAGGAGTTTCTAGCCTTTATTTATATAATATTTAGTTAGAATTTAATTAAAGCCGCTGTTACTATTTAATAGCAGCTTTTATATTATTAAATACTAAGATTAGTTTCTAAATTAGTTCTAGATAGCTTTTTTATTTAATTAAATATTATAACTAGTTCTTTTAGTTTTTTTTATATATTATTTATTAAGAATTTCTTTAATTTTATATTCTTCTTTGCTATTAACTATTATAAATAGTAGTTATATATTATTTTATAGTTATAATAGCAGTATATTATTAACTATCAGCCGGAAAAAATTAATATAAAAAATAAAGTAGATTTTTTTAGATATATTAAGTTATACAGTATATAATTTTATTCTTTTTAAAATAATATATTTTATATTCTTCCAGTCTAGCTTTTTACTTAAATATTTTATTCGAATATTCTGTAAATTAAGCTATATTTAGTTGTTCTTTTAGTATAATAGAATAGTTTAGCAGGATTTATTAGTTTATTTTTTTATATTTTATTATATATAAATAATAGTACTCTAAACCCAGTTTAGAATATTATATATCTTTTATATAATTATATTTTTTTATTAAATAAAACTTAAAACAGCTACTTTCAGATTTATACTTTAAGTAAACTTTTAGTATATTAAATTCAGCTTATATTTATAGCTTAAAAAAATAATAAGAATTTAGTAGCTATATTTATATAACTGTAAACTACTAGTTCGGTTAGAAATAATAGATTAATCTAATTTTTTTAATTATAGTCTATATAAGCTCTTAAATAGACTTTAACAGTACTATTAATATATTCTATTATTTTATTTATTTAGAAATAATAGATAATAAATAACTATTTATTAATTTCTA